TCATAAAATGTTGTTTCATAATTTAGCATAGTCAGGGCTACCTGTGGGAAAAGGTGATCCAAGTAATCTCACCTGTTACCACTCTCATTCCATTTCCTGGCTGCATTTTCATGCCAGGACAGTCCTCTGTGTTGTAACCTCAGCAGGGGACTGGTGCAGACTAAAAACTGTTGTATGGGCTGAGTTCTTCCACTTGAGTCTTTCTCTGTGTGCTATCAACATGTGTGCATAGGTAGGGAACAAAGCCAGGAATGAATGGCTGAGGAAAGGGAGAAGGTGGAAACACCCCGTTCTGCAGCAGCCCCGGTACATACCAGTATAAGGTGGTGGTGAAATAGTGCATAAGCCATCCAGCTGGTGTGGAATAGAAAAAAATGCAACTTTTTGTGCTTTTGCCAAGATATGAATGGACTTGAGCCACCCACACCCTAGTGATTAAACAATAAATTATTTAAAACTCTGCAATTCTTTACATCAATATAAATTCCACCATGGGTTTGGTTATAGCTGGCTTTTTTTTTTTTCCAATTGATTTAGTCAGTGTGTATCAGTTTTTGAAGGAAAGATTTTTTTAATTGAAGGCGCAGTGAATAATATATAAAGGTTGCATAGTTGGCATTCCCCTGTTTTCCCAGTAAGGCAATGAATGAGATCAGGTGGGTTTTTTAAAATTCCCTTTTCTTTTGTACATGGTGTGAAACAGGATATCACCAGAGCCACTGTGAGCGCTGTGCTGTGCGTGTGGGGGAAAGTCCCGCAGTGAGGTAACAGCCCTGCTGTTCTGCAGTACTTCTCTGCAGAAACTGAGCCTTAAGGAAGGTCATGTCAATAAGCAATACAAAATGTGGTTTTAGTTTAGTTCCTTCAGTTTGAGTCATGTTTTTGAGTCCATAAGGAAAATGGACTTTTCCTTAACAGCTTTGTGAGATGAACCTGTTAGAACAAGTTTGAAATCGGTGTAAGGTTGCTGTATTTGTTTTGGTGCTTTTACTTGAAGTGGGGGTGGGGGAGAGAGAGAGAGATGTGTTTTGTTACTTGTTGGCTTATTGAAGGAAGTCATCAGAAGTGCCCCTTGTTCAGCAATTGTTTCCATGTAAATGCTCCTGTGGCGTCTGTGGGGTGTGTGTAGATCACGTTGCAGTCACCATTTGGAAGGATAAGCCTCCAGGAATAGCTTGCACTTTTTGTGCCTAAACCAACCTGACTCTTGGGGATGGTCCTGTGAAGATCTAAGAGGTGGACTTAATGATCCTCATGGGTCCCTTCCAACTCAGCATATTCTATGATTCTGTAACCTTCATATCATCCTTGTACTGCATGGATGGCCATCATGTCTGGGTTCTCTTGATTAGTTGTACCCTAACTGCAGCTGTGCTCTACTTCATTCGTTGCTTAGAAAGAAACCCTTTAATTCCTTCTAACAGTTAGCTCATGGGGCAGATATCTTTAGGGAACTGTGGATGAATCATCTGTTTGCTACTGTGGCTGAAGTAAGATCTGCATAAAATCCAGATAAATCCCAATCCTTAAAATATCAGCATTATTTAAATTGTCTACTTTCTCTTGTAGGGGGTTGGTCTTGGTTGGACACCAGGTACCCACCAAGCTGCTCTATCTCTCCGCTCAAAAGGACAAGGCCAGTAGGGGTATAAAATGAGATGGAAAAACACTTATGAATGAGGATAGAGACAGTTTATTAAAGCAAAAGCAAAGCCTGCATGCAGAAGTGGAGAAAAATAAAATATTTATTCTCTACTTTCTCCAGCCACTCCCTGGGAAGTAGAGCATCAGTATGCATAGCAGTTGCTCCAGAAAACACAGGTCATAATAATAAATGCCCTTCCCTTGTCCCCTTCTTTCTGTTGGATGTTGTTATGAGGAGGTGTCATATGGATGGGATATCCCTTTGGTCAGGTTGAGTCAGCTGTCTTGATTATGTCCCCTCCCAAGACTTTGCCCACCTACTGGTGAGGGTAATGTTGGAGACACAGCCTTAATCTTGTGGGAGCACTGCCCAGCAATAGCCAGAACACTGGTGTGTTACGCACACCTTTCTAGCTACCAGTGCATCACACAGCACTGTGAGGGCTGCTGTGGGGAACGTTAACTCCAGCTCAGCCAGACCCAGCACACTCCTACAGTGGAAGTCTTTGGGCATTTGTATTATGTCTGGATGAGATAGCCTGCTGCTTATTTCCAGGCTTCACCCTTTACCTTCCCTGTGTCCAGAGAGGATGAGAAATATGGCAGCTCAAAAACTGTCTCTCAGGGGAGTAGAACTTCTCTGTCATTCTTAATGTATTTTTTTTCTGGAAAAGGAAAGAACACGGTCTTGTGTGTTGCTGGAGAAATATGGATGGTGAGGAGAAAATGAACTGACCCTTGGGATTTTTAGTCTGTCTGAGGCTTTTTATTGGAGTCTTCTGTATTTGGTGACATGAATTAAAATTGGCCATTTGTCTTCTGCACTTTGCTATTAACTCCTAATTTTCCTGCCTGAATAAGTCTCCTTGCCACCAGCAAACCTTTCCCTGTTTAGCACAGTTTAGTCATAGAGATGCATAACAGTTGAGCTGATCTGGGAGGCTGGCAGAGCATGCTGTCTGTCAGGCATATCTTGAGAATGTTAGGAGACATGGACAGGAGGGGATAGTGTGGAAACATGCAGTGGCCAAAGGAATGACACAAAAAGCTGCAGCATCTCCCCAGCTCCAGAAGTAAATCCCAGAGAGCCAGGAGATAGCTTTCTGAGGAGTTCTGAGCCTATCCTGGTGCCTCGCAGCAGGACCCTTCTGGCAGCCCTGCACCATCTCTTCTTCTGGGAGAGGAGAGGCATCCAAGCAGAGTGGGCAAAGAAATGTGCAGTCCTACTGAATTCCTCTGGTGTTTCCCCAACTCATGATGTAGTATTCCCTGAACAAAATAGTCTACTCTGCCCATCAGGGAAAACCACCTTTTCAGGAACTGCTCTATAACCAGTGCCACTTAAAATACTACTTGCAAAATTCTCTGCAAAGGACTTGTTTTGCATTGAACTGAGCCCATAAAGACAAGATTACTTGTACAGTTTCCTTCTTAAAAATGTCTTGACTGTAACTATGTTACTTCAAATAATATTGCCATTTGTTAGCATTGAGAAAATAATTCTGTGTTGGAGTGTTTACCACATGTTTCACCTGCTAACACTTTTTATCTTTTCTATTTTCACTCATCTTTGTCTCAGGGCTTTTCTAGCTTACCTTCATTTGGGTTGCATGTCTTTTACTTCTTGTCATCTCTCCCACATTTCAGACAGCCATCCAGTATTGCAGTGATGACTCGCCAGATTTTGAACCATGGGGAGGTCCATGGATGGTATAAGCCCAAAAGTCAGGAATCCATGTTGTTTGGTTTTGCACTTGTTTCTACCTGCTGTCCCTGCTGCTGCCTTTCCTAGTGACTTCCTTCTGTGTCTTGCTGTTCCTGCCAGATGGCAATGGGAATTTTTATTCACCTATGGAAAATATATTGAGATTAGGGCAGGGAGGTTGGGAAAATACTTCACAAGTGCCAACAATTTATTTTTGGTTTAGATTATAATTTCCTTGTCCAGCTTTTTATACTTTCTCAATAGTAACATTTATTTAAGCCATGGAGAAGTGAAAGATCACATAAATGGTGATTGATTCCTAGGGTGCTAGGTTAAGCCCTGTGTTGTCTGTATTCTTATCACTGTGGTTTTGACTGGTACACCTTTGTTCACCTGGAAATTATTCCTGAAATTTTAACATCTGAGTGACCCATCTTGTCTTATTTGGTTTGTACTCTTAGTACAAGTAACCCTTTTCCTAATATAATTTGTCATAAGCATTCCAGCTGAATTTGATTCATTGTTAGTGCCTGACAGCGTTGTATTTTCTGGAAAAATGAATTATTTCTTTAATTTCTTTCTCCAAGGAAGAATTGTCTATTCTGTATATGTTTTTGGGTGCCAAGGCAGTGGTTTTTTATTTAGACATATGTTGCCATATTGCTACATGGAAGAAGGCAAGATTAGAAGAGTATGTCTTGAATCCTTTGCAGAAGGCATGAAATATTAATTGTTTTGAGTTCCTGTGAAAGTTAATTTATAGCCTGGACTGTGAAAGCTCTGTCAGTGATAAATAAATCTTACTTGTTACTATAAAGGTAATTTATGCAACTAGGTCACTGCCCATCAGGATAATGCAGAGTTCTTATTAAAAACAGTCAGAAAGAAAAAATAGAAATCTTACGCAAGTGTCTGCAAAAAAGCCTACTAAATCTTCCCTCAAAAATCAAGGGAGAAATTCCTGAAGATTTTATTACAGCTTTGTAGTCTGTTCTTCTCTTACGGACTCTCAAACCTAAAGTAATTGTGGTTTCCTTATGAGGGAAAAACTGGATGTTTTGCTCAATCAGTGCATTACAGTTCTGACCTTGTAAGAAAGTTCATGGTTTTAGCCTTAAAGCCACGTGTTTCTCACAAACGGAGTACTATCTTTGTAAATGGATGTTTATTTAAATATTGACTGGCATTCAGAGATTTCATAATTCTTCCAGAGAACCTAAGTATGATCATTATTTTACATTTGGATATGTTAAGAGATGGTAGTGAAACTGTCTACTGGATTATAAAGTTGCTTTGTTCAGCAGCTGCTGTGTGACAATGGCTATAGCATGCATCTTTATAGAATTGTACAGTTCAGATTGTAATTGTGAAAATCTGGATAACTGTAAAGTTTTGGTTTTCAGTTGTAATGTAATTTTTGGTTGTAATGGTTTTGTTGGACGTATCCAGTCCAAGACTTACGGCTTAAAAGATGGGGTGGGTTTTCTTGATGTGGTTGTTTTAGAAAATAAGCAAGTAATGATGTGAAGTGTAGCCAGCAAAGGAAAAGTGAGACATTTGGGCTTTGTTTCCTTTTTTAATAAAAATTGAATGGAATTTATTTCTGTTAAACTCAACTTATTATTCCCCTGTGTTTATTTCTTTATTTCAGGAATTTGAGGCCTTTCAAGCATTTGTGGAAGATCGACTTCCGTTTGATATTGTTATTGATGGACTCAATGTTTCCCACATAAAATCCAGAAGGATGCAGTGTGAAAATGTAAGTGCTGGTTAAATATTCATTAAGTGTTTTGTGTATACTGATTATAAAACTGTGAGTGCCTCATTATTAGTTATCCTCTAGAGAAAATGAGCAAATACTTTGTAGCACATTATAATGAAGTTCAAAGAGTTATCTAGGTTTCACAAATTAAAAATTACTAGTGGGAAGATGGTTCTTCTTATATATTTGACTGTATTAGCTGTAAAATGTCATACATTTCCTCATGTAGCCAATGTTTATAGTTACAGCTAAGGTATCAATAATAACATTGTTACACAAACACTACGTGATTGTTTAAGTTTTCATAGTAGTAGGGATTTGGGGAACAGGGTAAATCTGCTGTGTAAAAAAATTATTATAGTTACAGTGGTAAAAGTTGTCATTAAAATAACCCCTTACTTGGTTCAAACCACATCCTGTACAGATTTAAACATTATTGCAGTCCCTGTTGATTTGAAACTTGAATCCTGTTTGACAAGGACAACTCAAACTGGTTTCAGTTCTTTCCACTTGTTTTGTAGAAGAAAAATCCTGCTCCTTTGTCAATACCTAAGTTTGAGAATTCTTGGTACTCCCTTGTAGCATTTCACTAAGAATTGGCTTAAGGTATTTGGGTTTTTTTGTCAATCAAATTTACTTCAAATTAGGAGTAGCAAAGTAGCTGCTCACACATACTCCAAAGCCAGAATTTAAATTTTCACACTCTCAAAATTAAAATGAATTTATAAATGAGATTGATAATTGATAAAAAAGAAAAAATTCACTTTTAGTAATTGCAAGAAATACATTTTTATTCTAAGAATTACTTTAAAGCTATTGTTCAGAAGTAGTGTATATTCTCCTATATGTAGATAAAAGTGAGCTAGGGAGGTTAGGTAAACTTGCTGAAAGATGTTTCAGAGTGGCAGTGTGGTTTCATGAGATACTGTCTCACAAAGAAGGTACTTCACTTACTACAAAAATAGAAAAAAAAAATCACAAGTTGTTTGGGTGGGATTAGGGAGGAAGTTTTGATTATCTGAAAAGAATTCCAGGCAGAACGTAGTGGCACAATGTTTTAACATCTAGAAAGAGATTTGTGCTGCCAGAGATGAGGAAGAGAAATGAATGTCCTTCCTCAGTGCATGCCTTCCCCACTGTGGGAGCTCTAAACAGAATTCTGTATGGTTTGTAGAAACTGGAGGCAATTGAGCAAGGAGCCAGCCTGGTTCTGACAGATAATTACTCCTGATTTCTGATGAGAAATCTTACTAGGAGGTATTAGCATGCTGAACAGCATAAATTACCTTTGAGTTTCTCCTTAATTTGGGCTGTAATGGGAGGCCTTTGGGATCCATGACTCCAAAGGCTGCAAGAGCTCTAAAGGACTGTGTGGAGACATCAACTTTCATTATATTATTTCATTTATTTAATATATTATTTCATTTCCCTATAGAAACAGGTTAAATTTTTCCTGAATCCCAGCTGTTTCCTGATTAGGAGGATTTTGGGAAGACCTACCTGTCCTTCCTACACAACAGAACAGTAACTTAGGCTCACCCCAGCTTATCTCTAGAAGAAGGTTCTCTTAGCTAAAATGTCCTTGTCCTAAGAGTTATGTTGCTGTGAATGATAATTACATTTTGTCATGCAGAAGAAATGTTAGTCATTGGGGTTTCTACCAGTCCTTCGCTGCTCCTTTTTTCTGGATTTTCTGGATATGTGTTTTTGGGAGTATGGAGTCATTAGATGAAGGATTGGAGTTGCCCATTATTTGTGCCATAGAGCTGTAGATACTCAGTGGCTGAATAGTACCTGTTTTGGCATGGGAAATGTATATTTGCACTCTAAACAACAAAATAGCTCCTTCATTTCCCAAAAGACCCATGGACTACTAAAGATGAAGAGAGAAAATTTTCCCTGCATTGATCCTCTCAATTAAGTGAGACACTTTTAATTTTTTTTTAATGCTAGATGTCATTATACACAGTCACAGTATTAACTATTGAGTTTATAGTTTTTTTCTAAGTAGAAACATAGTTTAAATGCACAATCATGCTGGATGCTAGAAGATCTTGTTTTATTTCTTCATGATTCTGAACTTCTGTGTTGTAACATGTCAAAAAAGGACTGTGTCTTTGTTCTTATTTTGGATACTTCTGACAAGAAGCATATATTCTTGTTTTCTGACTCTTTTTATCAAGACTGCTGAAAACAGAAAGAAACCCACAAAGGAGAGCAATCCTTTCTTCTGTCTCCAGACTTCTTTCAGATGAGGGAAGGCCACAGTAATCTGTTCATGTGTTGCTTTTCTGGTTAGGGGTGTTGCTGCCAAGTAGTCACCCATCTGTGAATGCTGACCTCCATGAATGCTGTAGTCTGTCCTTTGAGGGCTGACTCTGCCACAAAACTTCCTCTTCTGGAAGCTTCTATCCTCACACCTGTGACAGCCAAATGGGAAATGTGGAGTGGCACATATGGGGCATTTACAGCCTGTTTTATTAAGTTCTTCAGTCTACATGGGGAAACACAGTGCCAAACTGAGAAGGTGGAGAGGAGAAATAACATGAGAGAAGTAGGAGGCAGAGCACAAAGGATGAAAAAAGCCAAGAGTGAAAGCTACTGAGGTCAAGCTGGCTGTCTAGGGTAGCATGACATTCCCATTTTGAAGAAGAGAGGTATGCTGTGACTTCTGCTTGCCTAGAGAGGTAGTAAATGAGCAGTGTTTCTGAGGACCTATGTTAAAGCTGTCCCACCTGTCAAAAGCTAAATTATTTTATGTGTCAAAAAGCTAAATTTGAATTTTCATGTATGGGTCAGTCTGTGTTTTTTTCAAGGGTTCATTACTGCAGTTGTTAGACCCAGTCAGGATATTGTTTTATAGACTTCTCTATTAGAGTTTGTAGTTAGTATGCAGTGTGGTTGAAAGAGAAATGAGATTGTTGCTGTGTTTCTAACACACTCTTAAGTGTTACTATTTGTAAATTATTAGCTTCTTATAAGTCCCTTACGTGATTTAGAGAGAATGGCAAAATAAAGGGTTTTGTTAAACATAGGAGAAAGCCTAAGATTTATGTGACAAAAACATGGTAATTTAAGTGCATTCTGGTCTTAATTTAAATTTAACAAAAAGTACTGTTTAACTTCATGATTTAGCTTCCAGAACTGCAGCTGTTCTGGAACTCTAGCTAACTCTTAGTTATATGATTAAAATAAGAAAACATTGATGAAATATTCCTCTCTGTTTCAGACAGCCTAACATTTGTAATTCCATTTAGCAGGCCTTAGGCATCTTGCAGAGGGGCTGGGTTGTGTGGCGAGGCACAGGTACCTTGAGGGATGGGAGGAGACAGAAAACAAGCAGAAGTTGAAGGAAACATTTTTACTCATTTAATTCCCAAAGTGTTCTAACATTCCAGAAAGCTAGATATGGAACTTCCCAGGCAACTTCAATCCTCATAGCCAGCACTTACCAAATCATCATGAATATTATTGACTTGAAAGATTTACTGGAACATCCTGTAGCAGTTTGTCTGGTTTATGACACTCTTGATTTGTAAATATAATCCCTAATCACCTTTTTTTTCAGGTGGGTTTTACTATGGGTCTGTTTCCTGGTAGAAATTATGATCTGGCTGCATCAATTATTCAATTCCTGAATAAAAAATTTTTAAAAATGAGGCAGCATGAAGATTGGAACAAAGATTTTTGGGAATGGTGAGACTATTTGATTTGAAGGCAGTATACATATAGTGACTGCAAAACTGCAACATCAGACAGCACCTACTTTCAACCCTTTGCTTCCTTACTGTAGCATTTTAAATTAGACTTTAAAGTTGACTCCTTATTAAAAGATACTATAGAATTAAAATTATTTCTCCTATATAATTCAGACAATGGAAAAAAATCCCAAACCTCCTTAAAGTCTAAAATTATTTAGCCTTCTCATCTGCTGCTGTTTAAGGCTGTACCTGATGCGTTTTGCCTGACTGAGTCAGTCAGTGTACTGCAAACATGTGGTTTGTAAACAGAGATATCCTTGCAGTTTAACTAAGCAAAGTTGATTCAGGCTGTATCATGACATGTAGTTAATCCTTTCCTCCAGATGTATCTAATTACATAAATCCTTACCCAACACAATCACATTTGGTACTCTCTGTAGTGCTCTTACCTTTCGGTTTGTAAAGGTCAAGAGAGGGAATTTCCACACATTTCTCCTATTAACAAACTGTTGTATAATTCTTAAATGGATGTTTTCCTGTTTATGACAATTTTCTGCAGAAGTATTCCTTGGAAATGAGAGGGAATTCCAGTGCAAGCAGGATATCTAGGCTCTAGAGACAGCTCTTGGCTTGCAGAAGAGGAGTGAAGGCACTTTGCTCTGCTTCAGCTACCTCTGAACTGTGGAGGACCAGGGTGGGAGGTGAGAGAGGGGTGAGGGAGCATGATCTGCAAGAGCAGTTTGAAGACTATTTTGCTATTTTTAATTTACAATGAGTTTGGTATGTTGTAAATTAAGTATGCAGCCAGGTCCTTTTTTTCAGCTGTACCCATCTGGTGTTAGAAGTAACTGAACATATATTTCAGATGTGTGTTGGATCAAAGCTAACTCACAATTCCCTTCTTCAAACAGTTTGGCAGTTGAGGTCAGCTCTGCCCTAACTTTACCCTCTCTAATCTTTGTATTAAACTTAGACATCTAAACAATTGGTAAAATAGTTGCAGATTGAGTTACTCAAGGCTGACAATGCACAAAGGAATAGTTTTTGCTCTTGGCAGATAATTCAAAGTGGTTCCTCCTAAACTTAATCAGCACTTCTATAAATGGACTACATGAGTTTGTGTAATTCCCATATAAATTGCAGTAGGCCTGTACAATAGCTGAGGAAGCCAGATCCTTCCTATTCCACTCCCTTCCCATCCCAATCTGCTGGCAGCAGCCAGCATACCACATCTCTGGCCTGAGGCAGCAGGAAAGCTACCAAAACTGCCCTCCTGCACCTCTCACAGGCTGTCAC